TCATTACCAGGGTATAAATATCTAAGTATTTTTCTCCAATCTGCCACAAAAATAAATAAATAAATAAATAAATCACTGAATGAAACACTCAAGGGACCAAGTCTACAGTAATCACTGACAATGAAACTATATGACATATATTTCTACCAGATGGAATGATTATATAAAATATTGACCTCGTATCCCTAACAAATACTAGAGTTGTTTTTCTCAAAAGCAAATCTGACTTGGCTATTCATCTCCTCAAAGCATTTTGGTGAATGCCAGGACTAAAGAGAGACTTTTGAGATGGTCCTTTTCTTTTCTCCATTCTTTGCATCTTGGCAATAATACAACTCTGAACTCTACACTCCGACCACACAAAAAAAAATGTTTAGATTCCTGAGCAAACCAGACTGCTCCAAGTCTTTCTTCCTCTTTCATCCCACACTCTCTAGAAGCATCTGACCCTCTGGGGGACACTTGGAAAACACACATCGTTTGAACATCAATTCAAGCAGGCCTCCCTCTGTCTCTCCTTTCCTGATATCATCCTCAGATAGAATTTACCACTCCCTTCTTTCTGTCACTGATGGAACTTGAATTCACATTTGTTTAGTGCCTTTATGCTTTCTGCATGAATTGGTTTAGCATAGCTGGCTTTGGCCCAGGAAACAAAGGCTCTCCTCTACATAGCACCCACTGAATAATTGAATTAATTGAAAGTGCTTCAATCACCATCACATGTTTAATTAAGCATCTTTTAAGTTGGGAACCTGGACAACATGGCCTTTTTCAGATGCTCCTATGGACTGAATTGCAACCTTCTCCCAATTGAAGCCCTAATGCCATCATGACTGTATTTAGAAATGAGGCTTTGAGGAGTAGAGTTTGATGAGATCTTATGGGTGAGATCCTAATCCAACAGGATCAGTGGAAGAAGAAGAAAAAAAAAGAAGGAAGAGGAGGAGGGAATGGAGGAGGCAGAGGGAATGGAGGAGGAGGAAGAGGAGGAGGAGGAGGGAACGGAGGAGGAAAAGGAGGAGGAAGAGGAAGGAATGGAGGAGGAGGAGGGAATGGAGGAGGAAAAGGAGGAGGAGGAAAGAATGGAGGAGGAGGAGGAGGGAATGGAGGAGGAGGAGGAGGAGGAGGAGGAGGAGGAGGAGGGAGTTATTTTTCTCTCTCCACTTGCCTATGCCAAGGAAAGGCAATGTTAGCACACAGCCACCACAGGAAGGCACCCATCTGCAAGCCAGTAAGAACTCTCACTGTAGCCCAACCAGGCTGGCACCCTAGTCTCAAAATTCCAGCCTCCAGAACAGTGAAGAAATAAATTTCTACTGTTTAAGCCACCGAATCTATGAATTTTTAAGCCACACAGCCTTAGCTATGAATCCAGCTGCTAAATAAATAAAATGATTAAATGTCACTTTTACCCTTAATTTTTAATGGTTAGGTAGACCAAGCACTCTGTCATTATAATACCAAGTGGACAATAAGTCCTTATTTGTCATTTCTACTAGAGAATCAGTCACTCTATAGTAAGTTTAAAATTCCATGATGACAACCTCTGTGAGATTAGGAGTAATCATTTTATTTTTAAAAATATTTTATTGATTTTTACAGAGAGGGAGAGAGATAGAGAGCTAGAAACATCAATGAGAGAGAAACACCGACCAGCTGCCTCTTGCACACCCCCTACCGGGGATGTGCCCGCAACCAACGTACATGCCCCTGACCAGAATCGAACCCGGGACCTTTCAGTCCACAGACCGACCGACGCTCTACCACTGAGCCAAACTGGTTTCGGCAGGAGTAATGAAAATATAGTCCGAAAATATAGTCTTACTAGTGATTTTTATTTTACTCTCATGACACCAGATACCATAATAACAGTACTAGGTACATGATCCCCATTTACAGATAGTTTGGTTGCCTTTTCAAAGACAAGATGGCAAGTTAGAAGCAGGACTAGAGTAGAACTCAAGTCACCTGACTTTTAGTCCCTTTTTGTAAACAGAATAAGGAAAGATAAATAGCTACAAGATGTGGACATACACACATAGCCTTTTCACATTCCAAAACAAAGTCTAGAAATTGTTAGAAGAAAAACATTTCCTAACATCAATTTGAATTCTTATATTTCTGAGCAAAATATGAATATTTACTGTGTGTTAATAGAGAAGTAACATAATGGTTCCATCACATTTATCTCACTGACTCCAATATTAAATATGTCTCATGAGAGACTGTATACCCAATCACATAAGCATGTGATCTGTTCAGAAAACACTCAATACCAACACATAATTTTAAGGCAATTTTTAGATATATTCCTATACAAAAAGAATTTCATACTTAATATTATATCAATAATTTTGTAAATAACTAGGAAATATTTTAAATACTTAGGGAGCCACAGGATTTGGCAGGTTGCATAAATTTCACACCTGAAATGCTTTCATTTGACCACACCTACTAACCTACCAATGCTGCATGAAGTGTATGTCATCTGGAACACCCAGAGTCCTTCTGAAATATTTGCTTCAGAAGGACAAGGAACACACACACACACACACAGAGAGAGAGAGAGAGAGAGAGAGAGAGAGAGAGAGAGAGAGAGAGAGAGAGAAATGTATATATATGTATATACATATATGTCTCCAAAAATATGATAAGCTTTTGCAAATAAATGTAAGAAGAAAAGGCCTAGCAACTTAAAAGATATCTCCTTGATATATCTGTTCTAACACTGAAAATTATTAGTGTATTCTGGTCAGTAAAAGGCAGAGATAAATCAATGAGACACTTATTTAGTGTCAACTGCATACAGAGAACATGCTGAGTGCCTCCTGATGTGAATACCATAGGTTCAACATGAACAAGGAATAGAGGAGGTACATGATAACGTGAGAAAGAATCAGAATGTGTCAAGTGACCTGACATTACAAGGTGCTGGGTCAATGCAGAAGACTGACTGAATTCTAACAGAGAAGATGTTAAGATGGCAAGATCTTGGTTGGCCCTTCAGGGCTTGGTAGGAATCCACCAAGCAAGCTGGCATACAACCACCTTCTCCAGGGATAAGGAGCAAGCATCTGAAGAAAGAGATTAACTCAAGGGCTGATAAGAATCTACTTTGGATGGAGTCCAATGTGAATGAAGTATATGGTGAAAGGGGGAAAGCTTGGAACGTGGGAATGAAGGGCCTCAAGCTCAGTGGTCATGAATTTGGACCTCACTGAACAGACAGCAGGGCGTGAGGAAGGTAATTGGGGCACGGTGTGATGATGAAGGTTTTCATAAAGAGTACCCTGGTAGCCTTTGGGCATGGAAGGGAGAAGGGTTCAAAGCAACTGACTTAATATTATGCTCTGAGTAGGATGGCTTTATATGAGGAGAAATGGAACACAGCTGGGGAAATTTCAAAGAAGTGAGGAAAAAATGTCCAGGTTAAAGGATTCCACATAAACGCTCAGTGATTTACAACTGGCCCAGCCACTGCTCGCTTTAATCTGGATTGCACTGTCGTGGCTGATGATGTCTGCCTGGGCTCCCCGTGACACTCTGTGCGCAGGATCATGGTGGAGCCTGTCAGACACTTCAGGCCATATCTCATAAACATGAGCAAAGCCGACAGCTTTCCCTGAGACCAGCACCACTACGCCAGGCATAAAACAAATGGTTCCTGCTGTGCAGCTGTGGCCTGCCCCCTTGGGAAATCAGAATAGCACCTTTACAGCATCATCAGCCCCTGCTGAGACAATATTCAAGAAGTCAAGACTGACTTATAGCCAGTCTACACAGCCTCCCCATCTGTAGGATGTTGAACCATTGCCCTAGAAGGCTGGCATATTCATAAATGTATCCTCAGGGTCTAATGATTGTAGCTCCTTTAAGAGTCCCATATTCAAATGAATCTTTCATAAATAATAAACAGGCTGTGAAAATATTTTAAGTGCCTGACAATTCAATGAATGGTTGAAATCTTTATCTTCCCTACTACAACCAGCCATTCTCTACGTGTCCATTGACAGAGCATACATTACACTGGCTCAAGGAAGCATTTTAAAGGGCCACAATGACTTATAACAGCCCTAAGTAATTAAAATGTAATATCTGAAGATTTTGATTATAGATTTAAAAATGTAGCACACAGTTTCCTTACATAGCTATGAAATAGAATCCTATTTTCAGGATTTGTTTTCTTTGTTTTACAGATACACAACTGTCTTTTCCACTGGTGGCACGCCCTGTGAAAGCCAGTATACACCACAATGAATAACAAGCAAATGCTAGATCTAGGGAATTACCTCCCTCATTTCAAAATGCATTAAAAAGTTAGAGCACATTTTAAGATACATTCAAGAAAATCAAAATGAATATACATATTTACAATAATCATCTATTTATGTTTTAAAGATTCTTCCATTTACATGGAGAACAAAATTAATTTCATATATTATAATAAATAAATTAGATATATGGCTGTATAGCTGCAGAGTCGATTGCAAATCAGAGATTTGTCAGCCATAAGCTGATCAATAATTAAAATGGAGTTCACCTTCATACCATAATCTTAAAGTGTAACTACAGGTTTCCCTAAGTTTGCCTAAAATATGTGTTAAAGCTAAACATCTATAGCATAATAATATTCACTAGTAATTATACCCTGTTGATTAGCAAGCAATCTGGAAAAAATTAAGGGATAAAAAAAACACATCCACCCACATAATTAAGACATGTGTTTACTTAATAATCCTGAATATCAGTATGAAAAACACACCACTTCGGTGACTCTAAATGACTGTATTTAAATAGTTTAAATATGTTAGCAGTATATCCGAGTTGTGATGTTTTTCTCCACACAGAACACACCCATTAATAGACCAGAAAAACAAAAGCATTCTGATTCTAGCAGCTTCTTCAAATCCAGCCTCTCCACACAATCCAGCCTGAAGATCACTTCCTCCCAGAGCCGGAGAACAATACAGAGAACATGTTGCTTATTCATTTCTTACCTTTTTTCCTTTCCTTTTCCTATGAGCAGGTTTTGCACTTTTCTCCTTTGGTTCTTCACTCATCTTTCCTTCAAATCAGGTGAGCTGATCAAAGACAGGAGATCACTGCCCGTATTCCAACATCCAAAACCACGACAAAGAGTCAAAGCATTCAGACCAAAGTCCATTTACGGGGCTCCCAGGCAAGCTGCCTCTGCTTACACCCAGCCCTGCTGCTTGCTGTCAGAGCCGCGGGCGGCTAATGTAGCCTGTTCAGCTTTCCTCAGGCAGAAACTGGGTGTTCTCTACATCCAACAGTCCGTAATTCCTCTAACGAAAATCAATAGTTTAGTCTTTCAGTTTTGACTCATCATTACCCTGAGATAAAATCTTGACAAGACTTTGTTGCTTATTCCTCCACAGTGATTCCAGCCTGCAAATGGTGAGAGAGAGAGAGACACACACACACACACACACACACACACACACACACACACACACAGGCACTCTCGCACGCACACACACACACCCTCACACACAGAAATAAGCTACAGACTGCTGACAAATCTCCCAAGCTTTCCCAGAGGCTGATTTGCTGCTTCTCGCAGGCTGAGAAGCCGAATGTAAATTGCTCTCAGTGCTGTGAGCCTCCCATATGAGCACATGTGGTGAATACATCAGGGCATACCAGAGGAGGAGGCAGCGCAGGGAGTGATAAAAGATCAGGTTACTGGTTGGTAAAAAACACTCCATGATTCAAACAATAAAGAGCCCTACTACAGCTAGAGAAAATCAAGATTATACTTTCTCTGTTACTTTTTTTTTTTAATGAGGTAAGCAGTAGGCAAATGGCCAATTTTCAGCTCAAGATTTCTAATGAAGAGCTAATTACAGAAGGCCTTGTATCTAATTTGCTATCATTTTTAATCGTTGGTTGCCTTCCATGAATATACCAATCAACCAACAAACCCGAATATTCGGGAATTGCTAAGAACAAGTGGAAGGAACGTTCTGTGCTTCCTGACCCCATGTTTAGGGCAGTGCCATTCTCAGGTCAAGGTATACACTCCATGCTTCATGCCATCCTGAGACCTGGGCTTCAGGATGGTGTGTGTGTGTGTGTGTGTGTGTGTGTGTGTGTGTGTGTGTGTTGGGAGGAGGGGGGTTCGCAGCTGGGTGGAAAGGCCTTCTATCCGTTTAAACATAGCTGAGTTACCCTCAGAAGCTGTCATTTAAGCATCTCTTGAAGAGTGCCAGGTACACTCTGATTCAGGAAGGAGCAAGGTTGTACGAGCTGCCACAGTCAACCACTAAGATCAAAACAAGTCTCTCTGAGCAGATGACTGACACAGGTGTAGAGAAGGAAGACAGGAACAGGTGGAAAGGAGGGAAAAGTGGGAAGAAAATGGAAAAGGGGTAAGATCCACCTTTTGAGGCCTAGAATTCATAGGGGGAGTCGGGGAGAATCATATTATTTCCTCACGCTAGCATTTGTATTCAGGAGGTATTGGATTAAAATCAATGCTAACATTTGCATTCTGGAGAAATTGGGTTAAAATAATATAAAGCACAGCCTTACAGGGACATAACAGGGGCTAATATTCAGTGCTGTGTGCCAAAGGATTTGACACTGTTTGGGAAAAACAATGCTTAGAATATTGAGCCAAAAGAACAGATGTTTATGCTAAAATATTCCCCATTCTTTACTTATTATATACAAAGGGGGGTTGTCTCTACAGTATAAGCAACCAACACACTTCTTTCCCTACCCTTCGAACCACGGTCTCACAGAAAGGCCTGAGAATAAGGGATCCTTGAGATTGCTTCCCCACAGCCCCACAGGCCAGAGTTAGGGGTGCGAATGACCCCACAAAGAGCTACATGGTTTTTATGAACGGTGGGTTAGCTGCTGAAGCTTCTTTTCCACCGTGAGATTCCACACTCGATCATTACAATGATGTACATCTCCACACCATAGTACGTCTGGTGTGGCCAGAATTCTAAATGGTGTGAGGCATCTCTCACCTTCCAAGTTTCCATTTAAACTTTAACCTGCTACCCACCCACAGTTCCTGTTTTCTGCTATTTTTCTGCCATGTTCCTCTGGTCTTGCAGTAAAAGGCAGAAAACCAGAATGTGGCAGAATAAACCTTTCAACGTCCTCCACAATTCAATTCTTCCTCATATTCAAAATACGGGGAACTCTAAGGAACCAGCAGTACTTGTACCACCTCTATCGTTCATTTACTTCCATCAGATAAACCTGGATTTGTTAGAGATGGACCTTCTGAGGCACAAGGATAACATTTCTGTATAAGGTAAAAGATATAAGCAGCTGGACAGAGTCAGACTATCTAAATCTTTGCATCCTTCATTAATCAAGCCACAGAGATAGTGCCTCCAACTATAGAAGAGTTTTGATATTTTGATTCCTAGTGTCTAAAGAACTACTAAGTTGAATCACCTCCCCAGAAAAGTTTTTGGAAGCTCTTTACTGAGTAGCCACAGAGTGTGAGCCTATTTCCTTTTCTCTTTTAAAAAATCAAAGGTGCATAAAATTGAAACTAAATTTAGTTTATTCGTGTAAAAACTTTAAATTAATTAGGATTTTAGATCTAGAAAATAAAACTAACAGGAAAATGTCTGGCCAAGTACACAGCAAATAATGTGTATCATTCTAGTAACTTTTTAAACTGTGAAAGTGTTTAAATTGATGAAAACTTTAGGAAATTGGTGAAGTAAACAAATTGACAGGATATGAATGAGATTATGACTGAAGATACTTATCTGCCCATTTCATTGATAAAGCATGAACCTGTCTCTATTCACTTATATATACACAATGCTTTTATTATAAGCTAAAGTGCTCTCTGCTGGTTGGACGGGGGAAAAAAAACACAGGAGATTTAAAGAATTAGATGGCAAAATTCTACAAGTGATCATTTTAGGAAGAAATTATTCTTACTGATGAGGAGCTCATAAATCTGATTGAATATACTTCAAGATGTCACATTATATAATCGGATCTGGTAAAAAGTCCAGTTTTAAAAATTAATTTTAAAATACCAAATTTAAGTAGCAAAATATATAAGCTATTTTTAATTATAAAAGTAGGTGATATATAAGATATTTTATTTTTGTTTTCTGTACTAGTAACTTATTAAGTTTTAGACTTTATAGAGTGAATAAATTACTACATTTCTACGAATCTAGAAGGTTAAAAGAGTTTCTGCACTAAAATTGAGGGCTTAAGACATCACAAAATAAATATTCATTTAATTTCTAAAAATATGAAACATTTTCACTTTGTCAAACTTAACATCAAATTTCATTTAAAGGTTGAAAATTAAAACAATTCAGACAATAGAAAACCTATCCCTTATTACTGTATAATGGTGTTTCTAACACTTGTGCTCTAGAAATATGCAATCACAAAAATACTGATTACTTTTAATACCCAAAGGTGTAGCAAAGCATTTCAAATTAAAATTGCTCTGGGTAAAAGAGTAATTGGATTGATCTAAAAACAGTCGAGGGCTGATTACTTGCTCTCAAAATGTTAAATGTTAACTACTTTTCAATGGCAATCTCTTTTTCATCCAAATTATAAAATTCCCTCAGCCCTTGAGAATCTTAAATTTAGTCTAAGAAAAAACTTACATGCTAAATACACTGAAATTACCAACCTGGAAACAAAACTCTATTTGGTCAGGATGCCAGAAAGGAAAGATAACTGGATTATACTGCTCCCAAGCATGACTCCGTAGAACTGGCTGCCTAATTAGAGTTTACTCTGGATAGAAAGGATCATAAACTAGTTGATACAGATCTACTGAGACAGTTCTATTTTTAAATTAAATAACTCGGATAAGAGGACATCAACCAGTGCCAAGTTAAGTCTTGTAGAACAGATCTATTTTTAAAATGAAAGTAGCTTAGCATAGGCAAATAACTGGTCTAGGATTATCGGGAAGCAAATTTTAGAAAATATATTCGGCATAAAATTCACTTGAAAACCCTATCACATTTTGTTGTACTACAAAAATTAAAGTACAACACTAGTGATAAAAGGAAAAATGTTTCCATGTAAGTTCAGCAGAAATAAATACCTATATGAATAGGCAAATTTTATTTTTAAGGCTGGGACGTCATGTACTTACTGTAAGCTACACGGCTAGTTGGCAAGCTAAAGTAGTTACTAAATCTAAATTATTCCCTTGATACCTTTCCTTGGTCTTTAATGTTTAAAATACTTGTAAAGTTAAAGACAAAACTAAAGGCAAGTCAGCTGCTTTTCCACAAATCTCTCTTGAGAGCCAAGTGAAACACCGAGGCGGTGTTCTCTTTTCGACCACCTGTGGCCCTGACAGGTCTTCTCTGAGGTCACCCAGCTAGTTAATAGCAGAGCTGGGACCAGCAGCACTTCTACTGACTCCTCCTCTGAAGAGCTTTCCTTCCCCTACACCAGGAACTCCCAGAGAGGAGAACACCAACTCACAGTGAGGTTTGAGATTAATAACCAATGGTAAGCAAACTTGTACTCAATAGTAATGCATTTGCCTTAAATTAGAAAAATGGATACAACTAGGGTTCATTGGGTGCATCTCATGGAACCTTCACTGTGAGGTTCCGGTATTTTCCTTGCCCTATTTTGTGTGAATGCTAGGACAGAAGAAGGAAATAAGAGAAAGAGTGTGACAAGAAACAGTTGGTTGCTTCATGAGCCCACAGTCAATCTTCATTCCACAGAATTGGGGTTGCTTTAGGTTACAGCTGATCCTTGGGTTTCTTCCACCATCAGCACCACTACTGTTTCTGCTTGCCCACTTCTGCAAGTGATGTTCAGGAGCCCCTAAACTCCTGGGCCATCCTTAGTGATGATTTATAAATATGAAACATATCGTAATGTAGTTTTATGTATCAAAGCCATTATGTTTTATACAATGCGTTGGTCTTTATAATGTGAGTGAAAACATCTGAGTAAACACACTCTACATATTTAAGCTTCTAGTCTTTTTTGAGTCTTCAGATTAAAAAATGACATACAGTAACATTTGCACATGTTACTGCTGAGAGCAACTCAA